TCGAGCAACGGGCCTCCAGTAGTGTCCTCGCGAACAACAACAACAACAACAACAACAACAACAACAACAACAACAACAACAACAACAACAACAACAACAACAACAACAACAACAACAACAACAACAACAACAACAACAACAACAATCATTTTACCCGAACGCTCAGTGTTCTCACCAGTGCCAGGGTTTTCATGCGACGCGAGACAATACCCCCACTTCGTGGGGGGGCAGTTCAAGCTCTACCAAATATCCAAACGACTCTTCGCGACCACCCAAACCCAGCTTCCCGCCCTATGACGTTGGGACACTTCACTTCGTGGCGTGCGGACGACCGTGGCTACTACACTGGCGTGGGGTACACACCCACAGAACTTGGTCACTTATTCGGGGCGCGCGTGTGCCCAGCATCCTGCAATTGTGACATACAATACATGACACAGACAGACAGAGAGAGAGACAGAGAGCAGACAGAGAGAGAGACAGAGAGAGCGGAGTTGGTCACATTTTTGGGGCAAGTTCCTGAGATCGTCGTGTTTTTTGTTGGTCTTGCGCGCGCGAATGTCCACTTTACTTTTTTTTGCAAGGGAGTATTGAAATTTGATTATGTTAGAACAAGAAAAAGTAGCTCGCGCGAGCTCATGTAACATAAATGTTGAAAAACCATTGGTTTTGTGGGAGTCGGACAGCGCGCGCGGGATGAAATTTGGACATTTTTTTTGAAAAACCATTGGGTTTTTGATGTTTTTATGTTGAAATCGTTACGAAACCTAAGGTTCTGGAAGGATTTCGTCTTGCGCGCGCGAATGTCCACTTTACCTTATTTTTTGCAAGGGATTATTGAAATTTGATTATGTTAGAACAAGAAAAAGTAGCTCGCGCGAGCTCATGTAACATAAATGTTGAAAAACCATTGGTTTTGTGGGATTCGGACAGCGCGCGCGGAAGGACATTTTGACAATTTTTTCTTAAAAAACCATTGGGTTTTTGATGTTTTTATGTTAAAATCGTTACGAAACCTAAGGTTTTGGAAGGATTTCGTCTTGCGCGCACGAATGTCCACTTTACCTTTTTTTTTGCAAGGGATTCTTGAAATTTGATCAACTAAGAACCAGAATTTTCATTTTATAGTGTTTTTTGCAAGGGAAAACGAGCGTCAACAAAAAACCGGATCCGGTACTAATCCACTTTTCTGAAGCTTTCGCTAGAAAATGAAGGAAATGAGGCTGCGGCCTAGGTTTTGGAGGGGGGTCGTGCACCAGGGGTCCCAACAACAACAACAACAACAACAACAACAACAACAACAACAACAACAACAACATCAACAACAGCAGCAGCAACAACAACAACAACAACAACAACGAGAATCCGCACCGCGGAATCCCACTTCAGCCACGCACCCAGGGACCGTGAATGACCGTTCGGCCCCCTCACTCTGAAATATACACAATACACAAATAAAAGGATTCCCCATATTTTCCCATATTTTCTGGGTTTTTGTCTTCTCCCCCACTTCCCATCTGTTCCAATAGTTTCAGGGGAATCGACGATGAATTGTGTCTGTGTGTTTTTCCCCCTCCTGAATTGTAGAGAGCGAGAGAGAGAGAGAGAGAGAAAGAGAGGGGGAGGGGAGGGCAGGAGAGGGAGGGCAGGGCCGTTGAGGGGGGAGAGAGGGGCAGGAGAGGGGAGGGCAGGGCGAGAGGGAGGAGGGGAGGGGAGGGAACGGAGAACCGAGAAGGTACCGACACCAGCAGCCGTGGCGCCTCTGTTCCTTCCCTGGGGGGAGGGCGAGGAAGAGAGAAAGAGAGAGATAGAGAGAGAGAGAGAGACGAGGGGAGGGGAGGGGGAGGGCTAGTGTGGCAAACGAGGAAGAGGCCAGGGGGACGACGGTGGGCCGGCGCGGGCGGAAACCCCACGCCGCTCCCCCGTGGTGCAAACGCCCAGGCGCCGCCGCGGGGTTCGGGGTCTGCCCGCGTCGGCACGGGCAGCGTGCAGAGGTCGGCGCCCCGAGATGGGGGGCCCCAAGGGGCCACGAGGACGAGGACGAGGGGCCACGAGGGGCCAGTTAAGGTGTCCACAGAGCATGCCATCATTTTGCAGGAGATTGGGCAGCATTTGAATCTGACTTCGCACGGAGGAAGGACATGTGACAAAAGCTCCCCACTTCGCGCTTCGCGCTGCGCGAAGCGCGAAGTGCGAATAACTTCGCGCTCTCGCGCCGCCTTCCAGGGGAGAAGTGGAGGGTGAGGAGGAATCGGAGCCGAACCGCGAAGCGCGAATAACTTCGCGCCCTCGAGGGCGCCCTTGTTGTTTGGGGTCGAGTCTCAGGCATCGAACGCGCACCGGGCCAAATTGCCTACGGTGCAGCATCGAACGAGAATCGACGAGGGGCCCTGAGGAGGATGAGTGAAACACCCAGAAGGGTGGCCTCGGTGGGGTATCTCGTGGTCGTGGTCGTGGCCCTGGTCGTGGTCGTGGTCGTGATCATGGTCGTGGTCGTGGTCGTCGCCGTGGTCGTCGTCGTCGACGACGACGACGACGGCGTCGTCGTCGTCTTCCACCGCCGCCGAGGGTCAGGAGGCAACTCCTAGAAGGAGAACTATGCCCATGCACCGATCCTGACCAGGCCCATCTTGGGCCCAGGATCGGCGCACTCAGTACGCCCTCCTGGCTCGGCGAGGGAGGCATGGACAACCCCTGGCGACGCGCACAAGGGGGGTAGCGCGAGGGGGACGGCCTTCTCTCAGCAGGCGGTGTAGCTTCGAAGAGGGCAGGGGCCTTCTTGGAAGCCCCCTCGGCTTCTTAGAAGCCTGCGGGCCCATCCAAGACCTCTGCCCTCTAAGAAGCGCGCCGCAAGGGCCTTCTCGGAAGCCCTCTCGGCTTCTCAGAAGCCTTCTTAGAAGCTTCCAGGCCAATCCGAGAAGGCACCGGCCTTCTAAGCAGCGCGCCGCCTTCTCAGAAGGCCGCCCCCTCGTGCCACCCCCTTTGCGCGCGCCGTCAAAACTCCCAGGACGACTTCGCAAGAATGACTAAAGGCTATGAAGCCCGAGTCTGGCGACACTCAGCCGGATTAGCCTGGAGGACGCTCTGGATGAAGCCTGATGAAGCTGGGTTAATCGGGATTGCGCAGAATTAGGCGGGATTAGGCCCGCTCTCGTCCGCGGATATACAAGGCCGATGCTGACTCGAACCTCCCAGGAGTTGCACCCTGCCCATCCCGTGGGATGGGGACCTGAGAAAAAGCGTGTTCTACCGCTGCTGGCGAAACACCGGGGGGGGGTCACTACCGGCTCCCCCCCCTCCGGAAAACCGGGGGGGGTCACTACCGGTTCGAACCCCTCCCCCCCCCCCCCCCCAGTTTATCATGAAAAGGGGGGGGGGGTGACTACCGGTTCGACCCCCCCCCCCCTCGAACTCGAAAACCGGGGGGGGTCACTACCGGTTCGAACCCCCCCCCCCCCCTCGAAAACCGAGGGGGGGTGCGGACAGTGGTGGGGACGGTGGTGGTGGGGACAGTGGTGAGGGGACAGCGGGACAGTGGTGGGGACAGTGGGACAGTGGTGGGGACGGTAGTGGTGGGGACAATGGTGAGGACAATGGTGGGAACAGTGGGGACAGTGGGACAGTGGTGGGGACGGTGGTGGTGGGGACAGTGGTGTGGGGACAGTGGGAATGTGGTGGAAACAGTAGGACAGTGGAGGGTACAGTGGTGGTGGGGACAGTGGTGAAGGCGGTGGCGAGGACGGCGGTGGGACAATGGGACAGACAGTGGGGACAGTGGTGGGGACAGTGGGGACAGTGGTGGGAACAGTGGGACAGCTCAGTGGTTCGAACCGGTAGTGACCCCCCCCCCGGTTTTCGAGTTCGAGGGGGGGGGGGGAGGGGTTAGGGGAGGGGGGGTTTTGCCGGGGGAAGGGGGGGGGGTTCAGCAGGGAGGCAGGGGGGTCAGAGGGGGGGGGGGAACCCCGGGCTGCGGAGGAAAAGGGTGGCAATTTTCCACAGTAAAGCGGCGGTGGATCACGCTCTCTCGGACCTGAGAACGAGGTGGTTCAAACAATGCAAGTTAAACCTGGGGTCCCTTCCTGTCCTTACTCTCCCGTATCTGAACCGCCGCGGGTTGCCCCAGGTGGTAGGCTTAGGTCGGTCCCCCTACAGGGGTATTTTGGACGAAAAATTAAAACTACGGAAAAATATTCAGAAGATGCCCAAGAATACTCAAAAATAGGCCCCAGACGATTTTTTTACTATTCTTGAATATTCCCCCTGGAGAGGGACAGGCCCGACCGAATGGTAGGAGGGGAAGAGGGGGGGAGGGAGGAGCCGAGCTCACGAGGTGGCCTCTCCACAGCTCGGACAGAAGGCGGGCAGAGCCGGGTGGCGCCGGCGAGGCGCGGCACGGCGCACGGGCAGCACTGCGCCGCCGCGCGGCCAGAGGCCCGCCACGCCGCAGCCCGTCGAGCCAGCGCACGGGCGACGGGAGGGGGAAAGAGAGGATGGAGGGATGGAGCGGCGGCCCGCCCGAGGGGGAAGCGAGAGGGGGCGGGCCTTCTCAGACGGCTCGGAAGTCCCCCGGCATTCCGAGAAGTGCTCGAAGCCTTCCCCGAAGAGACAGAGCACTTCTCGGATTGCTGAGAAGCCCCGCCGCCTTCTGAGAAGTCCTTCTCCTTCTCACTTCCCCCCTCGCTCGCCGCCGAATGGCGGGAAGGAAGAGGGAGGAAGGAGTAAAGACAGAGACCCCCCAACCTGTCCCGCTGACTAGGATTTCGAGGCAAACCCAGCGGTGGCGCCGCGCCCCCCCCCCCCTTGGAGGCCCTGGAAAAAGCGAAAGCCATGGTTCAAAGCACCATCCTCCACATTACCCTCCAGAGCCCTCCTACTTTTCTCCCCCCCTCCTCCTCCCCCTCCTCCTCGTCCTCCTCCCCTCCTCCTCCTCCTCCTCCTCCTCCTCCTCCTCCTCCTCCTCCTCCTCCTCCTCCTCCTCCGCCCCCCAAGAGGGAGGCTGCCTCATGTGATGGTCGCCGCGGAACAGCTTCTCGCCGTCTGGGCCGTAAGTGCCGATACCTTTCATGTTGATGAGGGCCCCGTCGCGCCCATATTCGCCTCCGTCGACGACGGCGACGGCGCGGCCACGACCCCCCCCAAGGGAGATTCAGACTTGGAGCCAAGAGGGAGAGAGACGAAGGGCGAGGAGGGAGGGAGGAGGAGAAAGATGATGAGGATGAGAAATAGGAGGAGGAGGAGGAGGAGGAGGAGGAGGAGGAGGAGGAGGAGGAGGAGGAGGAGGAGGACGAGGAGGAGGCGGAGGAGGCGGAGGAGGAGGAGGCGGAGGAGGAGGGGAAGGAAGAGGAGGAGGAGGAGGAAGAGGAGGAGGAGGCGGAGGAGGAGGAGTATGTCCGACAACACGCTTCCTTTGAGAAGGTCACTGGGTGGCTGGGCATTCAACGAGCAACCATCTCTGTGAACCTAACGGCCAGCATCGAACTTCGCAATGCACCTGCTTAGGGACCGATATACCCAACTGGGACGCCAAGATCTCGACGTACCTGCCGGGGGGGGACGGTCATGGCGTACCCGACTGGGGGGTAACACATCGTGACGCACCGAGCTGGGTGGTACGGGGAGTGGCATGTCCAACTGGGAAATATGGATTGTGATGTACCCGTCGGGGGTGCAGAGTATGCCTGGTCAGCCGAAGCGTAGACGTGGCAACAGGGCGTGGGCAGCACAGCAGCGAGATTAATGTCCGCTATGTTGCTCCCATCGTACTTAAAGCCACATCCCAGAAATAAGTTCGAGCACCCGGGAAAGTGTCGAAAGAGTGTCGAAAGAGTGTCGAAACAATGTCTCCCAGGGCCCGACACGTGACCCCCCTCGAGTTTGGGGGTGCTTTTCTGGCGCTCGAAATTATTTCTGGTGATCAGGGTTAAAGTAGGTTGGAACATCATAAGCCAAGAGGAGCAAGCGGTTAGAGCACAAGAGAGCACGGACGTCAGACATAGTGGGCCCCAGGCCCAGGGGGCGAAGCGCCTCACGAGGCCAGCGAGCCCCTCGGGGCCGCTTCGCTCAGGCCTCGGGTGACCGCGGGTATCGGGCTCTGTAGCTCGGGAGACTCCGCGTGCCTGCCCCACCGCGCCTTTCTCCGACTCATTCCAGCCGCAGGGCTCCAGGGCCCTGGAGCCTAGGGCTGAGGAGTCGAAGGCCTAGAGGCCTACGGTCCTGGAGTATGGGGCCGAGGGGTCTGGGGACCTGGAGTCTGGGGCCCAAGAGTCCAGGGCCCAGGAGTCAAGGGCCGAGCAATCTGGAGCCCCGGAATCTGGAGCCCTGGAGCCCGAGGGCCCTGGAGCCTAATTGGAGTGTTGGAGACTGGGGCCCAGGAGTCTAGGGCCCTGGAATCTAGGGCGCAGGAGTCCAGGGCTCAGGACTCTAGGGCCTTAGTATCTACGGCCCTGGAATCTAGGCCCCAGGAATCCAGGGGCTCGGAGGGGCCTTTGAATAGAGGGCTCTAGGGCACAGGGGTCCAAGGCCTTAGACTCTAAGGCCCAGGAGTCCAGGGCTCAGGAGTCTAGGGCCCAGGAGTTCGGAGCGGAGGGCCCAGGAGTCTAGCGCCCAAGAATAGACGACCCAGGAGTCTCGGGCCCCGGTTTCTAGGGCCCATGAATCTAGGGCCTTGGAGTGTAGGGCCCGGGAATCGACGGCTCAGGACTCTAGGGCTCTGGAGTCTGGTTCCCTGGAGTCTAGGGCCTGGCCAAGGAACCTGCGGTCAAGGAATCTAAGGCCCAGGACTCAGGAGCCCTGGATTCTTGGAGTCCAGGAGCCCAGGGCCCTGGTGTCGATGGCCGTGGGGCCTAGGGCCTTCAACGCTAGGGCCCAGAGGTCTAGGGCCAGGGGAGCCTAGGGCCCAGGAGTCTAAGGCCATGGAGCCCAGGGCCCAGGAGTCTAGGGCTCGTGGGCCTGGGGCCCCGACGCGTGAGGCCCAGGTGTCCAGGGCCCTGGAGTGGCCTTTGAGCATAGGCTTCGGGGCCCAGGAGTCCAAGGCATTGGACTCCAGGGCCCAGGAGTCTTGGGCCCTAGGAGTCTAGGGCCCAGGAGTCTAGGGCCTGGGACTCTGGGGCCCTGGAGTCTAGGGCCCGAGCGGGGGAGGAAACAACGAAACGAAAAACGAAACGAACGCCCGGAAACTATGGCCAAGGTGGGGGATGACAGAAACGAATCGAATAACGAAACGAAGACCCGATCGACGGAAGAGTCTACGGCAGATGTTGGGGCCTAGGCTGAAGATCAGGCCAGCAGTACAACAATAATAACGGGGAGGAAGACAACGAAACGATCAACGAAAAGAACGCCCGGAATGTATGGCCATGGCGAAGGGAGACAGAAACGAAACAAACAACGAAACGAACAACGCAACGAAGCGAACGCCCCGAACTATGGCTGGGGCTACGGCAGAGGCTGAGGCCCACGGTGAAGCTCTGGCTGGCCAGGAGCACAATAAAACAGCAGGAACAACAACAACGAGACGGACAACGAAACGAACGCCGCAAAAGTACGGCTCAAAAGGGGGGAAATAATTGCTCGGCCTCGAGCCACCAAAAAACGGAAACCATCATCGGCATCACAACGACACAAGAAACGAAACATGAGGCAATAAAAGGCATTCCTGTTCTACGCAATCAGAACATCGAAAGACGACGGCGGCACGACACGAAACGAACAACGAAACGACCCGCGAGATGAACGGAACAAACAAACAAAAAACGAAACGCCACCTTGGAATCGCGGCACAACAAAACGAACAACGAAACGCGCACAACAAAAACGTTACACATTCAAACGCGTGTAGAACAAAAACGAGCAACACAACGGAAGCACAACGAAAAGCAACACGAAAAAAACCATGGTCAGAACCTGACGAAATAGCGTTGTGGTTGGTCATTGCTCACCCCCTGCGAAGAACCTCCCACCCTCAATAAGAGCGACGTTCCAATCACCAGCGACGAGCACCGTACTGTAGGCTGCAAGGGGTGACTTATCCAAGATATCCTTCAAATGCTACGTGTACACACTGATGTGGTCACATGTGTTGGGCATATGAACATTCACGATACTCAGGTCCCTAGCAGGTCCTGGACACCCCAGGAAGAGAACCCTCCCTTCCACCACTTCGACGGGATCGATTCGCGGGAACAAAGCGACTAGAGCATCAGAGAGAAAAGGTGGCAACCCCACCAGCTGACCTATCATCCATACAACTGACATACAATGTACGTGTACGCATCTCGTTAGCTCATATGGCCAAGTCGGCCCTGGAACCAGGAGCTTCCTGGAAACATGCAATATGATATCGTTCAAGCAATATCTTAGCCTGCTGAAGCCGCGAACTTGCTCTGACAGACGGGGAGTATATAGAAGCAAAGACAGCACGAGTGTTCCAAGTACAGAGCGTGAGCGGGGTGGACGAACGGTAGACTCCAAATGAAGAGGAGGAGGAGGAGGAGCAGGAGGAGGAGGAGGAGGAGGACGAGGAGGAGATTTGGGCGGCCCCTGGGACCCATGCCCCAAAGGCATACGAGGGGGCCCCTTCGAGCTGCGCGTTGGCCCCCAGCATGCCCCTGGGCATCGCAGGGTGGGGCCCTGGCCCCAGGGCGGGCCACCCCAAGGAGAAGAATTGAGCCAAACTTGTAGTCTGGGTGACCCCTGGGGTCCGCCCCCGGCCTCGGTCTCGTCAAGCGCGGTCGGCGCGCGGCTACGGCGGGGGAGGGTTGAGCGCGAAGCCCCAGATGGGACCGTGGATGGATGAGCAGGCCGCGGGTTGGGCCAAATCTGCGGCTTGGGCGACCCCTGGGGCCTAGAAACCCTCGGGGCCCAAAACCTGCTCAAGCCAGGCGCTGGCTGCCGGCAGGCTTTGGGGCTCCCAAGCAGGCCCTGGACCCGAGCCCAGGCGGGGCCTCAGGACGAGAACTGGGCCAGTTCTGGCCAATTCTGCAGATTGAACTGCCCATGGAGCCCAGGCCCTTGGAGCTCCCCAGCCCCCTTCCAGCCGAGGCCTCACCTGGCGCAGCCCGCGCGCGGCTGCGGCGAGGGGCGAGGCGAGGCTGAAGCCTGTGCCGCGGGTGTCCCCTTCTCCTCCAGAGGCCCGCTGGGAAGAATTGAGGGGCAACGATAGGGGGGGATAGGCATAGGGGGGGATGCATCGACCTGGAATCGGCAATACATCGCCGATGAATCAGCGGTAGGCTCCCGATCGTGAATCCGCACCTGCCTGGGCGGGGTGGGGCTATCGGGTCCCTGTCGGCGATCAATGAGCGATTGGGGGTCGATGCATCTGCATCCCCCCCTATGCCTATCCCCCCCCATCGTTGCCCCTGAAGAATGGGGGCCAAATATCGCGCCGCGTCGCCGATGCATCGGCGACGCCGGTGTGGATCGCGTCGGGCTCCAGCAGGAGCCGCATCGCCAGCGCATCGGCGGGAAGGTCCGATCCGGGGTGGCCGGAGGCCTGGATCCTGGGTCACCCAACTGCGCGCCCTCGTGCGGGGCGCCCCTCCAAGCCAAACCTCAACGCGCAAAGCGCGATTATACCTTCGCGCCCATGGGGGCAACCTAACCTTCACGATTATCCTTGGACTAACCTAACTTAACCTAACCTAACCTAACCTAACCTTTGCGATTCTACCTTCGTAATGATCCTTCCCCTCACCCCTCACTGAGCATCGTTTAGCCGATCCCCATCCCCAATGGCATAGCCTTGGCCCCACTGGCCGACTCACCCCCCTCGGTGGGGATCTATACTGCCCTGGCCCCCCACCCAGGTTTCGCGGTCCCCTCCCCCTCCCCCACACCACGGCCCAGTCAGGATGGGGATCGCTTAGATGATGCGGGTGCACCACCTCGCCACCTTCGAGTAGGAGATCGACCGCAGCACTGAGTGACCCCCACATTGGTTTGCCCGTTGGATCTACCAACGAATGCGTAGACTCAACGACACAACAAGTTGGGGGTGCATCTATTCTGTTACTCGCCACCTCTCCTCAACGCCCCTCAAACGGGGACTCCACTAACGGGTACTTTGGCCACTGACCCAGCGAGCCCAACACTTCCCGATGTGGGCAAAGCTGCAATGCAAGAAAAAGGCCCTAAAGTGGCAACTTTCGGCAAAAACTCAAAGTACCCGTTAGTAAGTACCCGTTACGGTGCCGTTGATCTCCACTCCCTCGACCTCCACCGGCGCGGCGCGCAGGGTGGGGATCCGAGCGGCGGCGTCTGGCCGCCGAGAGAGAGAGAGAGAGAGAGCCTTCCAACAGGTCGTCCATGGCGTCGGGCTCGAAGTGCGGCTTGGGCCTCATGCTGTAGCTCAGCGTCGAGTGCGTCGGGTCGTAGCCGAGTCGCCTGCGGTGCGGCCACCTCCTCCATCCTCCATACTCCTCCGAGTCCTTCCCGTCGCGAGTATCCTCGTCGTCGTCGCCCTCCTCCTCCGCCTCCTCCTCCTCCTCCTCCTCCTCCTCCTCCTCCCCCTCCTCCTCCTCCTCCTCCTCCTCCCCCTCCTCCTCCTCCCAATTATCCGAAATGCCAGAGCAGACGACACCCGACTGTGGACAGTTATCTTGTGCACGGGTGAGGGGCGCTTTTCTTGAAGAAGGGGACCTCGACCCTGGATGATGTCCGTCGCGAGGCACTGCGAGGGACCAGCGGTTGCGCTGCTTATGGGTGGCGCTCTAGAAAAACAGCGGGGTGGAGGGCCTTGATTGAATGACGAGCGGGGAAACAACGGAAGGAAAGCGAGGAGGCGGAACAACAGAACGGAGCAGAACGGAGCAGAGTCTGCCGTCGCCCGAGAGGCGGCCCAAAATGGGCGAAAAGCACGCGGAGCACGGTGGCAACCGTTGGCCCTCTGGGAGGACCAGGAGCAAACTGGATTCAGCGCGCATGAGGGTTGAGACAGGCCGCTTCCAAGCGAACTTCACAACGTCTTGCTCCAGTGACGCTGTGCACGGCGTCCTCGGCAGCAGGTCTCCACGACGTCCACTGGTGTTGCTCTACGAAGGCATGAGGACCATCCTCTCATCGGAGATGCCCGCCCTGGACGAGATCTCACAGGCCAGGACTGAGCATCCTTACCAGGCACGGCATCTGAGATGCCCTGTTTCTTTCGCCCGTCTCGAACCCAGCATGTTTACGACTATTCCTGCCCATCGCCACGGTGCAAGCCAGTGGCTGCCATTTCAAGAATGGACCCCAGCTTGTGTCGCATTGCTTCTGCCATTTTTAGCAGCCCTCTGGACCCACGGCATGTAATCGTCATCGGGTCGTCGATTCGGCTCAACCATGCGCCGCACCACTGATCCTAAACGCTATGTGCAAACAACAGCTTCCATAGTACACGGCAATATATGTTTCAGCACATTGCTAGGAACAGTTTCAACGAAGGATAACAGGAAAGATCACGGGGGGGAGAAGAGGGGATAGTGTGGGGGAAGAGAGAGAGAGAGAGAGAGAGAGAGAGAAAGAGAGAGAGAAAACGAGAGAGAAAGAGAGAGAGAGAAAGAGAGAGAGAAAGAGAAGAGGGCAAACAGGGAGCAGGGAGAGCAGCAAGATGAGGAACGGGGGAAGGAGGAGGCTCCACGGGAGCACGGATGATGATGAGGAGAACGACGACGCGCACGAGTAAGCGGAGGAGGAGACAGAAGGGAAGAAAGGAGAAGAAATAAGAAGAACAACAGAAATGGAGGAGGACGAGGAAGGAGCATTAGCAATCACCTGAGTAGAACGAGGATACGAAGATAGGGATGGAAGGGCATAAAGAGAAGGGAAGAGGACGTAAAAGGGGGGGAACGGCGCAGGATAGAATATATTATATATATATAATATATATATATATATATATATATATATATATATATATATATATATACTAGAACCACGCGCGCGCTTCGCGCGCGCTTAGGTTCTGTCGAGTCACAGACCCAGGAATCGTTGTGAGAAGAAATTGGTGACGCGAAGCGTCGTGGGGGCGTCCTTGGACGTCTGGGGTCTCCTGGGGCCTCTTGAGGGGCCTCCTGGGGGCCTCCTGGCGGCCTCTTGGGGCGGAAGGCTCGAGCTTGCGGTTCGTGGTCCCCCTCTGGGCCCCCTCTTGGGCCCGTCTTGGGGCCCTCTTGGGCCATCTTGGGCGCCTCTTGGGCCGTCTTGGGGCCCTCTTGGGCTGTCCTGGGGCCCTCTTGGAAGCTTCTTGGGCCGTCTTGGGGCGGTCTTGGGCGCCTCTTGGGCCGTCCTGTAACGTCGGAAAGCCCAAAAGACAACTTTGTTGAAAATGTACGTTTTACGAAGGGAATGGGCCAACTTTTGCGTCTAGGGGCCCTCTTGGGACGCATGTTGGAGGCTTCTTGGGGCCTCTTGGGGGCGTCCTTGGACGTCTGGGGTCTCCTGGGGCCTCTTGAGGGGCCTCCTGGGGGCCTCCTGGCGGCCTCTTGGGGCGGAAGGCTCGAGCTTGCGGTTCGTGGTCCCCCTCT